TTTCAAAGGTTTTCAAAATTTTTTTCGGTTTCATTTGTTTGGTTTTTTTGCGTGGAACTGTCTCAAGTATTTTTATGAAGTGATCTCCATGCCCAATGTATATATCGACTTCGGGGTAACGCTAATTTTTTTTGACTTCATTAAATTAATTCCTCGGGAAATTAGCATTTTCTCATTTTTACCGACGATAAAGATTTTTATAGCTGGTCACACGAGCAGTCTACAACTGTCTAGTTTAGGATTCTAGATTGATTTTTGATGATGACCCTCAAGTTAAAAATACCTCTTTGAATTTAAAGGGAAGACGACATATTCCATAATTTTGTGGAAGAAAATCGTAGATTAGGAGTTAAGAAGGCTAATCCGAGCACGGTTACCAGGAACATTTTCGTACAAAAATTTCTACCGGACTTCGTTAGATTTCAGGTATTGTAACTATTTGTTTAAAAAAATTTGTTGCTCAGACCATTTACTTTACTACAATTATAAAGATGATGTTAGTTATTCTTAATTATTATGACATACTGAATGAAGGGCAGTTGTTTTTTTCCCTTCAACTAAATAAACACTTCGATTCTCATGGCCGGCAATCCCTCTCTGATTGTTGGATTTTATATGTTGGACTTGCTTGATCGGAACTAGTAAAATACAACTTCAAATTATGGCTGTCTTTGCGAGCGGGAAAGATTTGGCGAATTCTGTGGCTACCAGAGTATGCTAGTCGCCGGATCACCGACCAACGTGAATCTTCATGAGGAATTAATCTAAACTGCTGCTCACTTGTTCTATTTCATGGCAGGTGAAGGCAAGAACCTTTAAAGTTAGGCTTAAAGACATGGAACATGAAATGAAGTTCTCTCAAAAGAGAACTGAAAGCTGAATGATGTGAAATGATATAATTTATATGGTTTCAGGCCAAGGGACCGGTCAATATTTATGCCTGGGGGGGGATGGGAGGCGTTAAATGACGAGTGTTTCCTCAGCGCAAGGTTTTTTTTAAAAATGATTCTATAAATAAGTTTCACGCAAAAAAGATTCAAAATATAATTTGGTAATTGAAACATTTATTATTTGTCTGAATCTGTGCCACCTCCTCTCCACCGTAAGAAGAGTGAAAAAAGCTCGTACCCTGCGTCATACGTCATGCAATCGTGACTCAGTACCTTTAAAAAATAACAAAATGATTTTAAAACAGTGGATCCTTCACGAAAAATGTCCGAGCTGTGAAGTATCCTAACCGTTAGTGTAACTTGCCGTCAAAAGATACCCAAAACCTTTATTGATGCAGCAAACCTGGACTGAACTTGGATAAAGACATTTTCATGCAGCTTAACACTTTAACCAACGAGGAGTGACAGGCATCTAATTTCTCTTTATAGTATCATCTATAAAATGAAATATAAAGGTCACAAGAAAAACGGAAATGATCACCAACTGACGAGGCGCTCGATGGTTACGAAGCAAATTCTTTATGTCAGCGTCTTGAGACATGTATGGAGAACAGTATGGAAAATCTGCATGATGATGTTGAGGTGTACAGGGTTACGAAACACAACCTCTCCTTCGCAGCTGTCTTTTCTCTCGTCACGCAACGTGCTCTCTCCCGCATTGCGTGAAAAGACCGCATATCAGAGTAACTGTTGCATGAAATGCTTCAATATTGCAACACAACTCTAATATGAGATGTAAAATTGAAGTGACCTTCAGAGTCTCATCACCAAAGCTAAATCATTTCTGACAGAACGTATAACAATTCATGCCCAACAAGAAATGCTAAATAACATGTTTATTGCCAGAAGGATCCACCATTCAAAGACACAGTTACCTTAAAATCACTATTTACATCATATATATTTTTGGCTATTACTTTTAACGTGATATGTGTTTATTTCTTTACAAAACATTTTATTAATACTGTATCTACATATCTTCATTCTAAGGTATGTTTTAAGCAAGCGGCTCAACTTTGGCTCCGAAACAACGTTTTTCCACAACACTTTACTGCATTAAAATTAACCAACCACTATTAACAACCGTGTTATGAGATTAAGTTATAAAGAGAAGCCATACATTATGCAATACGCTAAAGAAAAATGCGCTCGTTCTGTTATACTTTTGAGACGTTCTATTACTAACATCCCGTCAAAAAAAAACTAATTACACTGTACAAATCTGAACGTGAACCAACAGAACAAATTTGAAAACTACAATTCTGGTAAGCTCCATACACAGATTAACATTTGCAGTAGCTTTCTACTGCTAATTCGCAAATATGATCCAATCCCTGCATCTCCATAAACAATGTTGCAAAACAAACTGTTTTGAAAATTTTACTGTGTTAAATGTACAAAATAGCCTGTAACAGAATTTTCTAACAATATGTCTCAGAAAATGGCTTGGAAAACATAATTTACATTTTCCAAAACCATAAACACTGAGCTTATTTGCAAAAAATTTTATGTTGCCCTTAAATTGTCCAAATCTGGTAGGGGGACTTGCGCTACTCTTTTTGAAAAACATTCAACACCCACCAAAGTTAAGATTGGTGAGCAAATATGATGTTTTAAAAAATGTTAATATTGGAGTTTTTTGGAAACTTAGTAGAAAAATACTCCCTTTTTACTAAGTAAATAACAATTTATAGTGATTTAATTTTGTAGGTTAGCTAATTAATAATATAAGCTCTTTAGGGTCTGAAGGCAATAAGTTTGATGACATGCTGTGGACAAAGTTAAAACTTGTTTTGATACTATTAACCCAAATATGATTTACCAAACAACAAACAGAGTTTTCTAATGAATGGCCTGATGAAGCAATATAAGGGGTAAAACTTTATGATACCTACTCAAATGTTGATTTTCAACAAACAAGATGAACAAAGCATAACTAGAATATAAAACATGTCCCTGAAAAATTGGAAATGGAACAATGGATACTGTATTTACAAAATGACTTCCATGTGAACTTTGAAACCAAACAACGAATGCCACCAATCACAGCTATACTGCAACAGTAAAATGTAACTAGGGAAACTTAACAATGTTACCAGACAGCACAAGAGAAAAAAAAAGGCATAGAATTTTATAGCAGCAAAACAATGGTAAATCACTATGAAAAATACAGCATGTTAATTTGAAGAACAGCTTTACAATCAAAAATTGTGATCTATCTCCAGAAGATTACGCTCCTGTGCACAGGGGCTTCCTTCAGAAACAAAAACTTCCCAATGAAATATAAGTTTTCATTTTACCATATGACTTAACAATTGACACGTGAAACACAACATTGGAAAAGAAAAGTGCTAT